GAATTAAGATCAGTCATGTTTTCAAAAACTCCAAAGAATTCTCCCGTGTTTAAAATTAATGATGATGTACTTGTACGAGAAGATAATGGGAAACGCTGTAACTGGAAGATAGGTAGGATTAAGGAATTATTTCATGGAAGAGATGATAGAATTAGATCTTGTGAGATTCAGTTGCATAAGGGTGTTGTTAGAAGACCAACTGAAAGACATAATCTTGAAGTTCAGTAAAATTGATGCATCCATTAACGGATGCATGGGGGGGGAGTGTTAAGTTTAGGATTATGTATCCTTAGATTGTCAATAGATGGCGGTAGTGTTTGTAAAAAGAAACTGTGATGTCATAATTATGTATACGTATCAGTTCGTCTTTGGTGTTCGTCAGTAAACATTCTGTGGAATAACGCACCTCTGTTTATTACTTTACATTCGATCCAGTATGATTTATTAGAGACTTACATATATTTTGTTTACATGGAAGCTTCGGTCACGTGGTTCTTATAGGAATAATCCGGAATTTATATATTTATGTGATTAAGTACAGAAAAAGTTCCTAGCAATATTTGTTTTATTTCACTAACAATTCTTCAACATCTAAATCGTTCAAGAGTCATCCACACATCCAAAAGTCCAAATTGAAACGAGAAAAACTTGTTTTGGAAAACATTTTGAACATTACATAATTTTCAATCAAAGAAAACAACATCAAAAAGTGTCACGCCAAATTACATTCAAACTAAATTTCGTTGCATATAAAATTCTGAATATGATCCTTTCTGTAAATGATTATTTGACATTGATTCTTCTGCATTAATTTTTTTGTAATACAAAAAAAGTCTTACGTTCTGTCAGAATTATAATGCTCTAATTTACAAATTCGCATGCGAAAAATGAACATGCACAACTTTTCTTAGCATTATATGATTACGTTACTCAAAAATTTTAAGTACACCTCGTATAATTGTTGCCCCGCGATGGCTTTTTATATTTTCATTTTTAAAATTTCTTATTTTTATTTATTTGTTAATTTACTTTGTACAGAGATTAGGTTATTTCCTGGCAGAAGAGATGAAAAACGAGCAATGCCCTCGCCGGAACTCGAACCTCGGACCTCTCGAATGCGTGCCAAGCGTGCTGACCATTACACTAAGAAGGCGGGAGGAATACATTATATACTTTCCCTTTTAAAGGGCGACTGGGAATTATGAAACCCGGTTGACAAATTCTGGTGGTGGAGAATCATCATCCGCCACATTTTAGTTCGGATTCCACTGTAGAGACATTAGTTTATTTCCTGGCAGGAAAGATGAAAAATGGGCAATGCCCTCACCGGGACTTGAACCTCGGACTTCTCGAAGACGCGCCGAGGGTGCTGACCATCACGCCACGAAGGCATGCTAAGAAGCGGAACATTGTCATTGTTATTGGTAGTATTAATGTAACTTCTCTTTAAATCTGAATTGTTTGTCGCTGAAAACGTTGTTAATTTTCCTCAAGTGATTGACAACTGTCCAACATATACCGTATTTGACGGCATATAAGACGCACTTACTTTTCCTAAATTTGGCCTCAAAAATGTTACCTGCGTCTTATACGTGAAGGTAATTGCATTCAATAATTGTTTATTTGGCTTTTACGAAACGTGAGAACTAAAAGAAACCACGCTATTGAAACTTTTTTTCCTTGTGTGTGGCCCTCTAAATACGGGTGCGTCTTATATGCCGTCAAATACGGTATGAACTTATATTCAAGTTAAAGCATTAATCTGTGTTACCCTCCCCGATTTAAGTTAACATAAAAACTATGTTTAGAAATGAATGGCGTTTCTTCAGTGGTCCCAACAATTTACGCAAATAAGGAAAATATTATAATGTATCACTCATTTATAGGGTTATTGCTCGCACGACGGAATATCCCCAAGTATTAAATAATAATAATGAAATAAATGCTTTGCAAATTTTCTAATTTACAGCATTTCTCAATATGATTAATTACGGCATCCAACATAGTAAAATTAAGTTAAACAAATATTTTTTAACAACATGCTCCATGTGGAAATTTGAATTTCGGTTCATTCTTTCAAAGATAGCAAGTGATTAGCATGACTGCAGTTGAACGAATTATCTTCTTAATACGAAACCTCGTAAGCTAACCATTGTTGAGATATCCTTTTGCATAAGCTGTTTGAAAAACTCTACTCTGTACGCTATTCGGTTTTGTGAAATAGAAAGTGCGTATGAAATTCTAAATAAATTGTCTGCTTTAATCAATGGATAATTTCAATACTATAAACGCCCAATGAGTTTAATGCTTATATTATTTCATTATCCATAATTTATTACATATATATAATTGTTGTTTATGAAAACATTTTAATTACTAGTGCTTGAGAATACCTATTTATTTACTAGATGTTTTTAACGTTTTTATTTTAGCCCACCAGCTTTAGATTATTTGTGTACCTACTATTCTAAAATTCGTTTATTGGAAAACAACTAACTGAGTGTTATAAAACATACATCCAATCCGAGAATCATCCAAAATTCTCGTACTACATTTTTATGACAGTAACATGGAATCTATCTTGGACTACTAAATAATTCCTTTCTGGCTCATTTTTAAATCATGTCCTGAAAAGATTTAAAAAATCTTTTTTTAAGTAAGTAAAAAATATAGATTTTTGGTGGTATAACCTAAGCAAATTGATGTTTGCTTGAGAAAGAAAGTTTTATAGCTTTCAAAACTTTCTGAAAATTAGTGAATGGTAAACTAACTTTATAGAAATTTTCTCTAGCTATGGCTGAGGCTTAAAAAGCTTTTACGTTAAAGTTTCCTTTGTAAGCAATAATCTGGTGTTTAAAAACTATAACTGTATTTTAACCATTTGAAAAAGAATAAATCTAATATTATTATACTTCCACATTATACAAAATAACAGTTTAATTTTTAAACAATAAATATATTCTGTTGTTTAATAGATGAAAATTTGAAACGTATTTAAAACATAACAATATTTCAAATTATGCATAAAAGCAAACTAAATTTATCGTAGATTTAAAATTACATTTTGAAGACTATCAGATAGAGATTTCTAGAACGCTATCTATTTTGAGAGCGATTTTCTTCAGGGCGATTTTTTCGTTGGGTTTTTGTTCCTCCTTACCACTCCAGTATAAGACCGCCACTGAAAATGATCACTACTTCTGGAAACATAAGCATCAACATCGACAATATAACAATTTTCTCTGAAACGTATATCCTTTATTCCATTTTTTAATGAAATATATTATAACCTCAGTTACCACAAAGCATAATTTAGCGGAACTATTTTATATGCTATAAAAATCAAGAAACTATATTTTCAACTTTTACTAGAGCAACAAAAGTATTTTTATACAAAACAATCATTCCTGAATTACTTATTGTATCGTTTCTTAGTATAATGTAATTCTTCATGTGGACTTCATTTAGGTTAATGGTAAAGGCACGTCCTTCCTCACATTCTTAAACTGTTTAGAACCTTTTTCTGTTCTTCATTCATTCGGTTATAGTTAATTCGAAAATGACATTTTAGTGAATGTACGTTTGCATTGTTTATTTTTTGTTTTCTGAATCTTAAATCATTGACTTTGCATTAAGGTGCTTGAATAAGTGTAAATTAAGACGTCTATAAAACAAAAACAAAAAAATTAAAGCTTTAAAATTTGGAAAACTGAAAGTTATTGAAGGTGTTGCTTGCGCTTTTTCTAAAACGAAGTTGGCAGGATAATTATTTTTTTATGATGTTCACATTGTTGTAGATAATAAAGAAGAGGTTAAATAAAAAGGAGCATCATGCAAACATTTATTGGACGAATTTTACGGAAGCAGCATAGTTAGTGCTTTTGAAACTGCTAAAAAAAACAAATAATATAAGAGTTCTGTGATACATTTGCTTTAATCATAAGATCCATTTTCCATTTTGCATCATTGCACCCACTTACAGTAATACAGAAAGTCAAGAAACCTGTTTTTTTGGTTAAATTCCTGGCTTTACATTTACTTCATTAACTAGAAATTTTTTTTAGCTCACCAGCAGCCTAACGGTGAAATTGCTGGACACTGGTAGTTCGGGTTCGAATCCTGGCGAACAGGCTGGTTTTGCATGGGCGTTTTCGTGGTTTTCCTATGTGTAACGTGTATACGAGCCAGTTTCCTTAGAAAGTCCTCAATGAAAGCATCTCTCCCGTTAAGCAGATAGTGCGCAAAAGCTTCTCCATATTAAAATAAATCATACCAAACGAAACGTAATTTTATTAATATAAAACGTAATTTTATTAATATTAATATAATATTGCACTAAATGAAATGTAAATCGAATATTAATAAACCGATTTATATTTCATTTACTGCAACATTTTACTTTAACAGACTCCGGAATCTTCGAATAGGCTGAATCCTTTGTGCAAATAATGGATCGTCATCAGCTATAAATATCTTACCAAACAGGACTACGTTCAGAAATGTCTAAAACCACCACTAAAGCCGCTCATTGTCTTCTTAGAGAGGCGTTCAGAGAATTTCAAGAAAAGCACTTTAATACATGCCCAGAATTGATGTATATAATTTATTTATCTATTACAAATTACTTCACCTGACGGCTGAAACAAATGCAATATATTTCTTCTGATGTTTTAACGGCCTATTCCTAAATTTAAAATTTTATCAAAATTATAAATGTGAAACTGTGGATTTCTTCAAGATACCTTTAAAAGAAGCTCAAAATCACCACGTATTACGCTTTAGGCTGTAGAATCCATATACTATGAATATATATGGACGTCCGCTTTCTTTCTCAATAATCAAACGACTATATTTTATATCATGCATTGTTACAAATGAATTACACAGTCAGTCTACAACTCAATGTTATAATCTGTAAAAAAAAGAAAGGAAAAAAACCACTTCGTGTGATTAAAGATTAATTTTATGAAGATAAATATTAAACATAAAATAATACTTACTGATGAGCCGGGTGGGCCTCTTATTCCTTCAAGTCCTCTAGGTCCTTTGTCGCCTTGATCACCCTAAAATTAATTAAAAAGCTTTGAATAACGAAAACTATTTTCAAAAGGAAGCCAGGTTATTAATAAACAGATGTGATAAGTTTACATATTGAAGACGAAATATAATACAATTAAGAAGTTACATTTAAGTTTATAGTGGAATCTCGGATCACCAATACCTCGCATTATGAGAAAATCGGTTCACGAACAAATTATCTAGAAAAAAATAACTCGGATCACGAATTGTATCTAGACATACGAACACTCAAGTAGGCAAGAAGTAACATTTAAAGGTACTTGAGTGACATTTGATACAAAATTAACACTCAAGATTTCTAGAAACATTATTTTAATATTTTTCTTTATTTCATAAGGATAAGTTTTCCTTATTTCGCTTGTCTTTCATGTCGCAAGCCTGGTATTAAATGACGTACAGGACTATGACCTGGAGACCAAACTGTCTTTAGGCAGAGGTTTGACGGCCATTGACGCAGAAAATGTTTTATATATGATATTTTATCACTGACGTAAAAACGAAGACATGGAAGGGTTACTACGGGGTCATAAAATAAGCTCAAAAAGAAATAACTGGAAAAACATCACAAATAGCAATACGCAATTGTAGAGGAAGTGTCTTTAGAGGGAAGAGCAGATGAACCTAGTACTTTGATCCCTGAAATTTGTACAGAATGGGTTGACGTGCAAAATTTCATGCAATGATGTTGTTGTAATAAAGCAATAGCAAACTACAGCATAAATATATTCAGTGGGGCAACCAACAATAACAAACCACATTAGAAAAATCCTGATTGAAGCGGAGGCTGTTTGAATTTGAAGAAAGGTTGAGTAGCACTAATAGACAAAGCAAAGATTAAAAGAGCTTGCACCAGAAAGACATTTGCTTGATGTTTTTATGGAAGGGGGACTTTTCATATAATGATTAGGTCTCCCTTTTATTTTCGCTTATGTTGTCCACTTTCTTTCTTATGGGTACGGTAAAATAAAATTTAAAAAAAAAATCGTGTATTTTATTTTTCTAGTATCGGTTTTATCTTTTTACTTGTCTTAGGGGTAATTATGAACTTACTCAAAAAATATTGCTGCAAATTTTAAAAAAGTCATCATTATTAGCTTAGGAACGGATTAATCTGTTTTGCAAGAATTTTTGTAGGAAGTATAATTTCGGTTTACAAAAATATCGGCGTTTAGGAAAGAATCAAGTTCGTGAACCAAGATTTCACTGTATTTATATTTAATTAGAAACTAGAATATCATACTTTTGGTCCGGGCTTTCCAAAGGGACCTGGTTTCCCAGGTATACCAGGCTCTCCCTAAAAAGTAGATAAAATATATAATAATATATGGAAAGTCAATTCTGCTTATTGAATTGTTTACTTTTGTACAATAACTGAGATTTTCTTACTGGTAATCCATCTGGTCCTCTTGGTCCGACATCACCTTTAGATCCTTTTGGTCCCTGAATAAGAAGAAAAGAAAAGCAAAAAAAAATAATTATCTAATTAATTAATTTATTATTTTATGTTTGATAAATTAGAATAAACCAAAGAAATTTAGCTTTAATTTAACAGCGTTTTGCTTTCAATTTCAAATTTTGAATTCTTCAAAAAATTTGCATAGTAGATGTAATTTATTTAATATGTGAAAATTTTATTTTAAAAGTGATATGTCGGTTTAGGAAATGAAGTCAAAGATAAGAAAATTAGACGGAGACATTTTTATTCCCTGCTAAGCGTTGTTTTAATCATGAAAATAGCCATTGCGCAGCCCAGTTAGTTACTCCATTATTTAAAAATTATACCGTCGTAAAACTGCTGCTTGCATTGAATATTTATGAATTAGAAGAATACGATGCGCTAATAATAAATACACAGCTGCAATCCTTATTCAGATAAGAAATCCGTAAAAACTAAACAGTTTAATAATGAAAAAACTCCTGCATGTGTGCAGAATATGTGGTATTTAATATATATTTTATTTTAATATTCTGTATAATATATTCAGTTACTTGCAGGTTCCGAGAATAATCGATTCTCATTATATTAGAACTTTTTTTTTCTAGATGAAAGATTTTATTTCGTTTAGTTTTTGAAGAACTGTTGTGAGAAGTATAAAATGGGTATCTAATTAGTGCTTTTTAAAAATACCTCCAAAACTTTACTGAACGTGTTTTAATGTACAGGCAAATGATTAAATATTTGAGAATTAATTTAAGTATATTTTATAAATATTTGTGTGTAAAAAAAAAGAGTCCAAAGAAGATTGAATTATCAAGTGTTTTTTCTGAGTGGGGGTTAACTAAATATAATTAAAGGGTCGACCAACTGAGATAGTGGTTAGTTACTTTGACTGACGTGCCAAAGTGCCCGGGTTCGAATCCCGGACATGGCGTGGATGTTTGTAAACGTATAGGGTCTGAGAGGCATGAGGGCACTCTAAACATGCGACGAGCAGAAAGCCCTGTCGAGAGGTTTATGGTAGGAGAAGAGAGATGGAAAAACCTTGGACCCATCCCTCCGAGGTGCCCTATTTCAAAATTGGAGAGGGGCGGAACTGAGCAAAGTCGTATATTCACCTGTATGATGGACAGGGAATCTTGCCAACGACAGGTGCAATCTTGCCTCCTTGCCCCGATGAATTTCGCAGTATACTCTGATATCAGACAAGCGAGATTAGTCACAACAACACAGTTATACTAAAGCCTAAAAAAAATTGTGCATATGCTGCAGAAACATATATGTTAATTATTAGATATCCAGCCTGATACAGAAAAAAAAAATCCAGCTGAAAATTTTATTTCGTATTGCTTAAATTAAATATTTAGGAACAATTACTAATTTTTTCACATTTCTCTATGATTAGGGGATTTTCGAAGCAATACAATCTCTTTATAAACACCTTCGTTTGTAATAAATAGTAAGAGAAATGCATTTGAATTAATTATATTAATTTAATTTATACTCCCGCTTATGCGTATTTTCTGTAAATTATTTTTGCTCAAGTGAGTAGTTTTAGGAATTTCAGCATTAATAAATCACGCAATTTCTAAAATTAATTTGAAGAAATCTGTTTAAAAATGGAAGTCATATAAGTAATTTGGCATTATTATACACATGTACAATTTAAGCACCTAAGACAGTTCCTTATTCCTAAAATATAACAATTTTTAATAACTTTGATACCTTTGTGCCGTTCTGGATTTTGGTTATGAATTTAAATTCCCACGGAATTATCTTTTTACGAAAAAATTTCCATCCATTCGTATTCTTGCTGTTGCTGTATCCCAACAGTTTGTGAAGGATGATGGGTTTGAAAATGGATGTGTGATATTTTTATGCAGTCTGTTATATCATTAATCAGAAACTTCAGTCATTAATGCAGACAGAATACCGCACGGGATCTAGAAACCTGAAGGATTAGTAGTTTCAGGTTTTACAATCTTTTTCTCATACCAATAGTTCTTCTCGAAAATCTTCATACTAACATATATCTCGTACCCTCATTCTCTGTACACAAAATATCTCTATATTACTTGGGATTCATATCAGAACTCATTATTATGAGAAATATTTTCATTTATCAAATACTGACCAGTCTATATCATTACAAACGGAATCGTAAAACGAACTTGTGGAAGGTGAGTTATTCAAATGTTGTATCATTTTGCTATAGTGGATGTTTTGGTTCCAAGTCTATTGTTGTTCATACATACATTCTTGTAATTTGAATTTAAATTTAAAATACATTGAGTAAAATCCTAAAAAATATTCTTTTTGTATCTGCCATTCTTTTTGTATATACGAGGAGCATAAAATATCGCTCATTTTGCTTTTTATTATAATTTTAGATAATATTTATATCTAACATCATGCTTGATTGCGATATTTACTTTACACATTGATGAAGAGCTAACAGTAAATTTTTTCTCGAATTATAAATAAGTATTCTCCATAAATACGAATGGCTTTTATCTGATACTTTATTTATATATTTCTAACCTCTCAGCTAAGGTATAGATTTCTAGATACAGGTAACAATAAATCGGGCTATATATCTTTACGAGATTACGTTTCCCAGTCCATACAAACAAAGAAAGGAAAAACATTCTTACTTCCGCTCCTTCAATTCCTTGAGGGCCTTGCGGTCCGGCGGGACCCTGCAATAACAATAAAAAAATATTAATATGATGCAGTACTTAGAACACGACATTTCCCTTAAGCTAATGAGCAGCAATAGTCGAAAGAGTAATAGATCAAAACAGAAATCACTAGCTGAAAAAGTTATGGAAAAACACGAATGCGAAGCTTATATGTTTCCTTTTTTTTATGAAAATAATATGGAATAATTGGTTCATTCATTTAGAAATGCGGAATTATATTATTGTTGATGGAGAAAAGCAGTAGAAATGATACATTAGAAATAGTGAATCAAGCTAAACAATTCATAGTTAGTTTAACAAACCCACGCTGCAGATATCATGTAAATGTTATTACTTCAAAAGATAAAAAGTAATTATAAATTTATTTTTTATACTTAAAACAATTTAATTAGCTAGTTACAAAGAACTTCCTTTGAATGAACATAAATACTTATAAAATTAGAACAGTTGTAAAAATATACATAAGGATGATCAGTAGGTAGTAATTATGTTTATGCTAGCTAGTCTTGCAAGAAGTAAAAATATTTTAATTTGTTGAATATTTATTTCTAAAATAAAAAATGTATATGTATCAGGTTTTGGTGTATGTGTGTGTCTACGTGTGTACGTATGTAAGATACAAATATGTAAATAAATGTTCTAACTTTAATTTGCAATAATCCCTTAACTCTCTATTTTAGTTTCGTTATTTCCGCTTATAAGGGTTTTCTGCTTCCCTTCCGCATCCCTTCGTTGTGTAATTGAAAGCACACTCGACGTATGTTCCAGAGGTCCTGAGTTCGAGTCCCAGTCAGGGCATAGCACAATTCTCACGTCTCTTCTGCTTCAAAAAAACTTAATGGCTCTACTGTGGCGCCCAAACTAAAATGTTGGGGGTCGGTTTGGCGATTGGGTCCCCTAGTCTCCAATCGCCCTTTAAAAGGGGGAGTATATGAAGCAATTTCTCCTTCCTTTCCGAATGCAAAAGAAGACCGGAGTTCGAGTCCAGGCGAGGGCTTGTCACATTTTTCACGTCTAAAAAACTATTTAAAAAAAACTAATAACTCTACACGCTTGCCGTCTTAAAAATAGTAACTGCTTACAACAAATACCTCTAAACTGCGTTGTTTCAAAACTGATCCATGTCATAATGATCCTTGCATAAAGCTAATGACGCAGGTACTTACACAAGGTCAATAATAAGTTTTAATTTGCAAATCGATCATATAAATTTTTAAATAATTCTGAGACATTAAGCAATATCTGAAACTTATTCTAATATTTACCTTAAATTATTCATCTCATAATTAAGGCATTCATTCACCATAATTTCAAATTACTATTTTTAAACATCTAACTTTTAATTACACTACCAGTAAGATATGTATTATAATCATTCAATTTCATGAATCATATCGGTATTATAAGCAGCTACTATTTTCAGGATGGAAATGAGAAGTAATCAGAATAAAAGAGAGAGTTTAGGGACTATCGCAAATTAAAATTAGAATTTAGAATTTAGAATTTTCATTTATATACTTTTTATCTTGCATGTGTGCTAGATAAATGAAATGTAAAATAAAAACCTAACGTTAATTTATAATATCTCTTTAAGTCTCCTATTTAATTTGGTTGCCCTAAATACAGTAACATGTGTATAATAAATCTAAACTGTGTCTTTTCAAAACTGATCCTTGTCACATGACTCTTATATTATGCTAACGCCACAGTTAATTGCATAATACTTCAGCCATCGTAATGTTAAATTTTGCAGACTAAATTAGCTAATATGAGTAAAATAAAATTATATATCAAATGATATATAATTTTATTTTATTTAAATAAATATATATGAGTAAAATAAAATTATATATTATCCAAGATGATATGAAGATTTTGTATGCTCCTGTAAATAAATAATATAATACTCTATAAGAATGCTAAGCTTTAATAAATTTACACACTTAGTAAGCTCAAAACTAAAATTCTTTACATTTTCAAGCGGTTAATTAGCAGAGATATTTGAGAGCAAATTTACTGATTTAGATCACACAATAAATATGAAGCATCTTCACTTAGATTTAAAAAGAAATTGCAAAATAAACGTTACTCGCTTTGGCAATTATCAGTTCTGTAATGGATGGAACAGTTTAATCTATTAATTTCGAAGGTGATTCATGATGAAAATATCGTATTTATTTCATTCTAAGACGGCATGAATTGAAAAGTGCAGTTCTTAGTTTTAGTATCAAAATAAAACAAAAGAAAGCAAACAAAACTCTTTAATTCTACAATATATAAAATGAACGAAATAAGAAGGTTTAAATGTATCTAGCTAATATTTTATTCAATATATTAAAAGTAATGACGTAATTGTTTTAGTGAACATTATAAAAAATTATAATGCTGAAATATAGAGTAATGTGGGGAAAATATGGGATTTTAAGAAGATGCCGCGGATTCTGAGGCGCGATTGCCACTTCTAGCCGTATTTATATGAAAAAAATATTGCATATTAGAAGCAAGGAAATAACGTTATTAAATGCCCCTGCATCGCACATTTTGGTTGCAAATGTATAGAATGTAAGATGCGAATTAATATTTAGTATTTCAGTTTTTCACCTCAGGTGTATTTAATTATGGCAAAGCACACTAGGGCTGTCTGCCTAAGAGGAGGGATGCCTTTCGTGGAGGACTTTCTAAGGGAAACTGGCTCGTATGCACGTTACACATGGGGAAAACCACGAAAACACCCATGCAGCCAGCCCGTTCGCGGATTCGAACCTCGGACCGAACTACCAGTGTTCAGCGACTTTACCGCTCGGCCGCTGGTGGGCCGTTTTTCACCTCAGAATTATGTTTAAAAAATTAGATTTAGAAACTTAAAAGGTTTGATGTTGAACTTTCCCAAGTTCAAGTTCACAATAGTGTCATAATAATCTCTTATTTAAAAAAGTTCTACAACTGGAAATATTTGTCTAAATTAAATATAAAAAGGACTGCGGTCAACTCCTTTTTTAAAAGATTTAGTTTGCAATTTTTAAAGCAACAGTTTAACTGTAGAAGAAAAGTGAAATGTCTCTTACTATATCACTTCATCATAGAAGAATTTTCATTTTCGTATTCAGGGAAGAAGGTGTATTTAGTTAATGGTCCAAGTTAATGCGGATAATATATCTCAGTTAATGGCCCTGAGCAGCTTGAACTAACATTCGTAGCGCTCTAAGAATGTTACTTACTCAGCATATGTACATATTTATAGGTTTCAAAAGAGGAAAGGAAAATATGGTTGATCTTCTGACAAGGTTTTAAACATACCGGCAAGAATATTTGCATATACTATATATACAAGAAAAGCACATTCTAAGTAAATATATATTAAATGTAGAAATATTCAATCTAAGAAGTATGAAAACGTGAAGTTAAATATTTATGCAGGAAAAGTAAGATCAAATGAATAACTAATACCGAGAGAATATCTCCATCATTTATTGATGTATATGTCCATAAATAAACATGTAATGCATAAATGCTTATATACGGTAAAAGCGAGATTACTTTCAGGCAAACGGTTGAGAAAGGCAAACGGTACTAAATTACTTTATCGCAGCGTGATTTAAGTATTAAAGATAATAACAGTTATCTGCTTCATTGTTTTTTTTCCAGTAACATCCACGTATAAACAAATACAGGCATACAGGCATAGGCGTTGAAATAGTGGAATAATTGTTTATATAATAATGTAAGAAACGTTAAGCATGCAAAATGCACGTAAAACGTTTTAGGACTAAATTCATATAAAATCTAAAGTTGATGAAAACAACATTCTTATTGTTTAATCTTCAATATAAAATCCTTGTGAGTCTGACCAATTTTTGGCATGTTCATGCAGCTAATTGAATTACTTACTCAAAGTTTAAGTATTTGGTTATGACTTAACGAATCTTTTCAAGGTTATTAATGTAATGACTTCTGAGCCGCCCAACCGGAATAGTGGTTAGCGGGGCGAGAGGAAATTCCTCTCGAGAGGTTGATGGTAGAGAAAGCGGGGTGGGAGACCGTCGGAGCCGTTCCCCCCACAGTACTCTCCAAAACTGGGAGAGGAAATGAGCAAAGTTGTACAATCACCTGTGTGATGCTCAAGGCTCTTGCCAACGACCTGCCCAATCTTGCATCCCCTGCAACGATGGATTTCGTAGGCTTGTTCTGATGTTACTGTCAGACAAGACAGATAAATTACAGCAACAACAACAACATTAATTCTGAGGTAAGACCTTTTTAGGGAAGAGAAATTAGTCTTCAGGTGCCAAATATAGCAAATAAAGAAGGTTTTTGAGAACTATAATACTTTTCTTTGCCAAAAATTCCTTCACTGGAATGGAACTTCGTGATGCACATTGTCGTGTAGCAGAGAATAGTTACTATAAGTAGAATGAAATGTTCAAGCCTAACACGTTATCTTCGAAAGGATGTCCGTCCACTGCGTCTTTATAAAATGGGAAGCCACTGTCTGTACACCAGAAACGCATTCCTTGATATCAATAAAAATGTCCCTAACAAAGTCTTTGTTCGATGTTCTGAAACCAGAATTTCTATTATTATTGTAAACCTTCTCTAATCCAAGCAGATGAATGTCATTTTGTTTCAATCTCATAAGCAAAATGCTTCAGCCACAAGTTATTTGTAGAAATCAGAATTAATGTCTGCTGTTTGGATCAAATTACTTGTTCAGTTTTAGAATTCACGGCAGCAGATTTTCATTGGACAGAAGCAAGTAATTAACTCCATAGAAAATTGTATCCATAAACAATCGTTATTTTAGGACAAGCAATATAAAGTGTCACAAAAATAAATGTCACTAATTGTTTGGCAGATTTAATGGAATGTGCAAAAATTGATCCTACAACTTTGTACACGTATTGTGTGTTATTGCAATTGTAGATATCAAAAATAGATTTTTACCTTACGAACTCAAAAATACATAATATGAGTATGAAATTCTCTTGATTTATCTTTAAATCATACAACATATGTCCGCAGGATTAGCTTCTATTTTGATTACACTGCGTACACTGCTTGTGTATAAATCCGTTTGTATGATCTTTTGCGCTCATTAACTAAAAGCAGATATATTAAATAGCTAGAAATATTATTGGAACGTTTCAGATACTTACAGGAAGTCCTTGAGGCCCCAAGGCTCCAGGAGGACCAAGTGGACCTGGAGGACCCTAATGATTATAAAAGAAAGGTTACATAATGATAATAAAAATTTATCATGATTTTCAATTCCATTGTGATAAAAATGAGGTAATATTTAAAAGTAATATTTAAATAAGTAATATTTCAAGCCATTTTTTATCCAAATTTCCTCTTTCATATGTTTAACGTATTTTGATACATTTTCTTAAAACAATTTTAAATTTATTCGATTATTAGTTGTCATTAAAGGAATTAATTAGCGTCACAGAATCAATTATTGAAGTATTACATCTTGATTTATTCCTCAATAAACCATGTGTAAATAACCAAAATTTACAAGAATCGTAATCAGGAGGATGTTAACTCATACTTACGAACCCTAGTATAATTTTTGCCTCTGTTAGAACTACCGGCTATAAACTGTAGTTAGTAAGAAACAGACGGATAACATGTATATTAGATCGTACATATTATTTATACACTATATACATTTTAAGTTATATTTCTGTTATACGTTATTATCAATGGAAACCGACATTTAGGGGGGAAACCTCACAGTTAAGATAAAATGCAGTTATGAAACATTACTGCATTCATAATTATCATAAGTTTCGGTCATCCCTTTATAAGACTGCCATTCCTATTACCTTATAAAAAACACTACAGATGTTACACAGGAATTGAAGAAGTTATGCCGAGTAGGGCAGAAGAATGTGAAATAAAAGTTTAAGCACAGTTGAAATATTGATGTATTGAAAACGGTTATCGATATGATTATTTTATAACAAAGTTATAAATTACGTTATAAATTCATTGTAATAAGAGCGAGGTACAGAGTCTGACACAGAGAGTTCTTCGCCACGAACTTCTCCCGTTCCATAATGTCGGTAGATTTGAATGGAAAGAAGTTTTATTATAAAATGATTGAGGAATTACGTATAGCTAGCTGTATATGATTGTCTACTACTGCTGTTCTGAGTGAAGTGTTGCGCGGTTACGCTGGTTTTGATGTGGACGTTGCAGATGAATCTAGATTAGATTTTGGTAAGTGGTACGTTTGAGTTCTGTTGCGGACAAGGCAAGCCTGTAGCTTCTAGCCTAGTTGGATTTATTTGTTGAATTTATAGTAATTGCGAAACAGCTGATCCAGTTGATAGGCAACTTTACTTTTATATATTTTAATTTAACACCCTAACAAATGGTGAAATAAACTAAATTTAAAATGATTTTACTTCGGTTTGCTAAATAGTTCTAAATGTTTATAGTGATAATTCATTTTAGAATTTAGTTAGCGATTTATTATTATGGAAATGTGAGCTAACTAAATTACTTGTACCTACACAGCTGTTACCGTATTAGAATTTGAACACAAAGTGCTATCCCAAAGCTACTAAATGCATTTCAGTAAAGTATTTAAGTGCATTTACAGCGAATGATAAGGCATATAAATCTATAAAATTGTGGTTAAATTATTATCATTTATTCTAGATGACTTTGGACCTTGTAATCCTGACTACATGACTCTGAGATTATTGTCGGTATGATATGCTAGTATTAAATTATTCTGTTACAAAACAGCATTATTCGTGGAAGCAAAAACAAGCCCTAGATTTATTGATATTCATTAAGGATCGAGCTTTACCCAATACTGCTTTTCCTGCACACTAACCTTGCTGCACACAAACCTTTCCAGCTTCTGGAAACAATGCAGTAGCAAGCTGTCACTTTTGGTACATATGGTCATCCAGACCTATGATTTTTATTACCGAATGCTTGAAGACAGACTACCCCAGTGATCCCCCAATGTCAGTTTCAGTGGTAAATACATTATCTCCCGCATGTATCCATCCCTACAGAAAGGATATTTCGTAAACTTCATAATAACTTAATTCCTCTCTAAGTAACACTGAACAATGTTAGCAACTAGATGCAAAGTTTATTCGATATACTTCGCATTCTGTTGATGAAAGATCATGTGGTAACCGTAAATTAAATTTAAAAAGTTTGCGTTATAAATTACGTTACTGTAAACTGCGAGGTCACCGAAACATTAATTTCCTATATGTTTCCTTAATTTTGAGATTAGCTTGTGGCTTAAGTTTCTTAGATTTGAATTTAAGACGTTAAGTTCATAACTTACGTGATGTATAAAAAGGTTTATATGACAGCTCTGGTGTTTGAAAAATGTTTATATGCCTCATTAAATACATTATCTAGTGATGATTTATGGATCTTCAAAATCAATCATTCACTGTATATTTAAATGATGGAGATTAGAATTCAACTGATCAGCTTTTCGATAAATTCCTTTTTGCAGAATTTCGTTTAGTAGTAGTGGTTTTCGTTTATTATAACCCTGATAACAAAAGTTTCCTATGCAGCTACGCCTAATGAAAAATCGATAAATATAAAAAGTGTATTTGAGAATATTATGTAGAATAATTTAGGCTTTAAAAGAGCTCGTTATACTCTTCTCCATCTCAAAGTGGGGCGCATGTTGTGATCCCATGAAGTTTAAAATTTAAGCCTCATAAAAACGAAGGAAGTAGTTTCCTCGCCTTTGTTAGACGTCGGTTCTTTCAAACTACATACTTTTTTCCGAAAGGTAGGAGACCATTACGCAAAAAATAAGGAAATATAAGAGATTAATGTTATTACTAATTAAATTATTTCATATATATGCATTAATCATCCTTTATAATTGATAGAATTTAACGTAATTAAATAAATATCAAATCAATAAACACAAATCAGGAAATTTTGTAAGATATTAATATTTTAGAATCAGTTTTTCAGGAAATATGCTAATAACTTAATTTTTAATCATTTAATGATAAATGATATATAGATATTTTAGAATTAGTTTGCTTAGTATTATATAGAAGTCAGATAAAATGCATTTAATCTCTCATAGCCATTATTATGACGACACAGAAAAATCTGCCTTCTCTGTTTATAAAGAGATTTATGTATTCAAATTTACAAGTAAAAAAAGATAAAGTTTTTAGTTTCACTCTAATTTGTATGTGATTCACATTTATTGTACTAACGTTTTCAGCATTATACAGAGTAATGCTAAAATTCATCCGCAATCCAGCATGAATAACGTAAAAATTATTTGCATTCAATCTGTTTATATCCACTCATGTAGTAGTATTTACCATCTTAATCCTGCATTCGTGTCAAGCTAGCATAAATAGTAAAATTTTATATAGAGAGAGATACTGATTTAAATTTATAAGATGAATTTAAAAACAAAAATTACGTACTTTAGCTCCATCAATTCCTGGCTCACCGGCAGGACCTGGAGGACCTGGTGGACCCTACAAAAAGTATTAAATAAATATTTATTCACCAAGTTTAGATACTAAGGGGGAAAGGAAATTCATATGCCATTACATCAGTAAACGAAAGTAATAATTTAATTGGTTTATTATTTATTTATTTAAATAATAAAATAATTTCTAATACATTTTCTGAAAATGTGATAATATGTTAACTACCAGAGACATTTACAACCATTTCTATTATAGCAAGCACTAATAATAACCCTTAAATATATATATATATATATATATATATATATAATGATATTTTTTAAATCAATTGATTAATTCAATTCTAATCATATTACTTAATAATGTGTTGGCGATTCTCTACCTAAATTGCATCCCTGTTCCTAAATTTTGGCGAAATCCTTACTTATAATAAATTACTTTATTATAAATTATATTAACCTGTTGGCGCCCGCCAAATCGCCAAACTCATAAATCTGTCATATTACATAAAGTCCTTAAGAACACTTCTGATGAGGAGATAGAGGCACATCGTGATTTCAATTAATATCGCTGATTGGATGAGCACCATGAAGTACACATATCTATAAATAGGGCTTCTCCTAGAGGGACAGGAGGAACGCTTGTGAGATGGTTGCCAAAATAAACGTATCACTTTATAATTCCAAAATTTGTCTCATTCCTGTTACTCCGGCTGCACAACACACATAATGTATGAGAAAATGCATTTCATATATATAGAGAGAGAACAGAAGTCGGAGTGAAATATATCTCATATATTATAATACACAGTATGACTCATACTGGCAATTATTTATCGATAAGTCATTAGTATGCATGTTTACGTTTTACTAACGAAATGTTATTTTAATTTATTTCTTTCCTTTCTGCTTCTTTTCATTAATAAACTCGCTGATTTCAGAGTTTATATAGATTTGAGTAGTAAGTCGATTCACTATACATTTTAGAAATTTACGAATAGAATGTGAAAGTTTGGCCTGCCTTTTGCTGCCCTGACGATTAAAGAAAAGAGACTGTTGTCGACTCCAGTGCTGGTCTTGCTGAGGACACTTTAGACTGAGTTTAGATGATATTTGGTATGTGTATGTTCGAAATTCTGTTGCTGCCTAGGCAATCTTGTAGTCTCTAGTCGAAAAAGATTTATTTAAAAAAAATTATATCCAATTTGAAAGCGTCATGCTGAAACCGGTTCCAGGTTGGTTTGTAAATTTTATGTTTGCATATTCTAATTTAACCTCTCACACGTAGTGAGGTAGAAAAACATAAGATTTTAATTGTTAGTCTGTTTGTTTGCCAGTTAGCTGTTCTGGCGGTTATAACTAACCACACAGAAGAAACGTAACACCTTATTTTTGTGGTAATTTACATTAGTTATTTAAAAGAGACAGCAAGTGCTACAAGTTAAAATTGAAGTATGTCTCCTTCAATCAAACCTCAGTCGTTCTCTTTTAATACTTCCCAGAACGTTTTAATTTAGTTGTTGGCGATGTATCAGTTTCAAATATACTTATTCTTTCATAGAAAAGCAAATTTTCAATAAAATCGAAATGTAGTTGAAATCATGATTGTATAAGGAACCATTAATAACATATCTAGGTAATTTTATCGTTCACAAATTATTTTGAATTTTGCACCAAATGCCTCATTTACAATTCTTAACTGTATAAATAAAAATAATTGGGGAACAGCTAAAAATCGACTTAAGTAATAATACCTGTTTTAGAGATACTAATCAAGAAACATTGTTAAGTATTATTGAATAATAATACAAATTAATACAAATTTGTATAGCAACTTGTAAATTTTTATACTAACTTTTATAGTAAACGTTTGAGCATCCTTTCTTCGGTCTGGCATACAAAAACATGTAAAATATGACAAACGAAAAAAGAAAGATTAAACTAAAAACACTAAAATCAGGACTTGGTGCTCTTAAAGAAAATAATACCGTATTTCCGCGCATTTCCCTCATTTTTATTATTAATTTTGTCGTCGTAAAATGTAAAGGGAAACCTATCAGAGTAATTTAATTTCCGAAAACCGCGGTTTCATAAGCACATATCAAATGAAAAGCAGTCATGAATAATTCGATATCTGCTCTGTGTCTGCTCGTCTCTCTAATATGAGATGAGCTCACATGTCCACTCACAGAGTTTCTGTTTTTTAAAATAGAGATATGATAAAAAAACATATTGTTTAGTATTACTGAATACTGTAACAGGAAAACTTTAATGAGACAGTTTTAAAATTTTTGACATTATTCTAAATTTACGCGGTTAATTGGTTAAATATTTGTTCTCCAGAAATTATCCGCGACGTTTCTTCAATGTTGTGAGCTGGATTTTCTTAGTCTTTCCCATTCACATAAATATACCCCCTTTAGCCAAAGAGATTAACACTAATCTACTTATTCCCAGCTCATTCAAGATTTTAATTTCTCGCATTTTTTCAACTTTTATTGCTGTTTTCCTCGAGCGATGGCGTTACGTTCGATTCCTGTTTGCTCTGTTTTTTTTTTTTTTTTGATTTCCTTACAAAGGCTGTTATTTCTCTCCCCCCCCTCCAGCAAAAAATATTTGCTTCTGACCTAAGACATATCTATATCAGATCTCATTCGAAGCTGACAGAGTTTTGTTCAATATCTGTGGGAATAAGTTTATTCTCTAATTCAAACTCCAGTATGTCATTTACTAACGTTACAATAGAGTGGTACTTCAGTATACGTCATTAATCCCTTCCGGATCCTTGACGTACACCAAACGAACTTTCCCAATAAGAAATAAACGGAAAATGATTAACCCGTTCTTACGAAGAAACTCCTGCTGTTAATCTCACAATGTTTAATACTAAAACACAAACGGACTGGGCGAAATATATACTGTGCATAGAAGCACATGATACTAAGCATATACGAAATATTGTGCATAAATATTTTTCTGTTATCCAAATTAAAAATATTTCTGCTCTAATGTCTTTGCTCCTTGTTTGGTAATCAATTTCAGCCTTTCGCAACTTTAGCAGATTCAATAGCGTCTTTGTTTTTCACAACCGCAAATACCGTCGTTCTTGGCGCACAGTACGCAATAGTTAGGTCCCAGATAAACCATGCCACCTTTACACTTTTCAACAATCTCTTTTTCACCTCCGTGGTCATCCTAACCATTTTCTTCATACTGCTTCACTCTTTTCAATAACTTTTTTGAAACACATTGTTAACGTATTTACGGAAAATATACTCGAAAAAAAAACTCAAAATCAATTACAAATTCTGAGTTATAGTTATGATTGTTTCCTGAATAGTAGCAACACACGTAACTGATGCTTTTGGGTGGTGGTAACGTTGTCTCGAAAGAAGTAAACAAGTGCAGCGCCCCATGCAGACGTGACTCATCGAATTCGAGTCGTGTTCGAAGCAAACATCGTATATTTTTGCGTCCAGACAGGGCGTATATCAAGTTTGATGGATTTCAAAGAGGGCGTATATCTTAATGGCTAATAATAATAGATAATTTTATAAATTTCCAGCTAAACGCAAAACTTTATCAATGATAGTCAGATTTCATAAACAGCAAAAATTAATTTTCCGAAACATCCTATCTGATTTAAAAGGATTGTTCACAACTCAGATTTTAATAATCAAGAAACGACAGAACCTCACCCACTGTAAGCTTCTCGAAAATCTAGTGGAATTTCATAAATTAGTGTTCAGTATTTCAAGGTATTTTTCAGCTTACAGAACATTTTCCATTGACTTGTTGCCATATATGTACAATATAAATGCTGTTTAAATATGACGTATTCAAAAACCAAATAAAACTATACTAATTACTTACACAAGGCGAATATGTTCTTGTTATACCATCTTTTACTAAGAATTTTATAAAAATGTTTTAGGAATATAATCTATAATTAATGATCGAAATGTTAAACCTGCAAGCTCACCATATCTGTTGGTATAAGGAAGGTATAATTAACGCAGATGTTTTGGGCAGAGGGAGGACCGACAATAAGATAAAATTGCATTCATTATGAGCCCTCATTAGTCCAACTTAATTATTTCAGTTTTACTAAATTAATGAAGTTCATTTTTGCTGCTATGGAGTCTTAGGGTTTTAAGCTTGTAAAATGAAGTCGCCATTTGCTAACTTGAGCTTTGCTAGTATGAACATAATTCTGTTAAATCAACGTAACATTCTAAATGGAGCAGTTTTAAGTAATTTTATTTAATTATACCTGCAATTAAATGTTGTTTGAAGCATATCATAAAATGCATAATATTTTGATTTTTTGCAGAAATAATTCACTGTAATTGTGATTCTAAAAGAGCTAAACATTACGAAAGAACTTTGTTGTGATATATTAGGCGAGAAGAGTATATTTTGCTCTTTAAATTCAATTAATAAATATACCATAGTGCTTTTACATTCATAATTAATTGAAATTTTCAAAACCGTATTTACCGAATACGTTTGTTAAAATATCATGTTGTGTTGATAAGACCGTACTTTGAAATTGATAATTATTTTGATCTAAATATATTTTAAAGTTTTTATTGTAAACTATAATATATAATAGTATATTTTTTCTTTTGTTTTCCTATTTATTCCGCATTTTATTTTACTCAGTTACTCGCAAAGAAGAAGTCAAGCATATTTAATTATGCTTTTCATACTTTAATCATCCGATCATGATGTCTAGGTAATAACTTTTTCATACAGACTGAAACGAGTAAAATCTGCGATATACTCGTAGACCTTGACCGATCTAAAATATTTTTACTTTTACCAAAAATGTAGAATATGTGCCAGCAGCGTCTCTTTTCGAGCAATTGTTTTGTTCAGATTACCACAACAGAATCAAGAAGTTTATGGTGCATTGCGCTTGTTGCTTTAATTTTAGTGAAGAAGGAAGAAAAATATCTTTTCATGTATCGTATTATTAACCAAGATTATCTGAGAAGTAAAAAAAAAAAGATAGTGACAAATATCCTTCCTGGTGCATTTTAT